CAAAATTTGTTATGGCGCGCACACAATGGCTGCATTTCCCATAAGTTTCCTCCTAATTAGCCTTAAGTACCCACGAAAAGTTGTGAAACCGTTTTTAAACGCGGACCATTGTGCGTTGATCTCGATTAAAGCTTGCATTTTTTTCTGACATTCAAAAGCAGCGTTTCTGAGATGTGATTATCATATACAGGATGTTCAATTTGATGAGGGAAATAATTGCGTTTGAATACATTTCATAATACATTTGTTGTAATATGCTGAGTGCGGCAGCACCCAAAACATGTGAGTAGTACTCGAGGCTGGGTCTTATCTGGGCCGTGTAGGGAGTGACGAGGCGGATGGGTGCCATCTTGGAAACATAACTCAAGAAACAACTTCTCCCTCTGAAGCAAAATATAATTTAATAAAATGAAACTATGGATCAATACATCATCATGGGAATCAAAACAGGCATCCCACAAAAATGTTTGAGCCTCATGTAGAGGATACCATTCTGCATATAAATTCTATTTATGCGGTACTGTAATGAATCTTCTGCTTTCACGAGATATATTAGTGGAGATCCATATATCATTATATAAGAACCTATTTGCCAGGCTGTGGCTCTATTTCGCCTCCGAGGTTTCCTCGTTATTTTTAATGAATCGAAAATAAATGCAACGCGATGTCAATGAACGCGAGAATTTCAATATTCAGATTTTCGTTCAATGGTGTCGCGACTTTCCCAGTGATCGTTTCAATTTTGTAAGGATAGGTGATAAACGCAAAGATGATTACAAATCAAAAATAATGTTCCCAACCTTGTAGCTTGGCCGCGCACCGTAGTGTTTGTCGACTCCCTCACCGCCGATCCCAACAAGATGCGCCTATTGTCATCTAACGCAGCACTTTTGCATATACGTAAATCATATCCAACCGATTTATTTTAAGTCTAAAAATACGTGGTCCGCGGAATATTGAGATACTCAACATTTAGCACCTGCTCTAGTAATGCTCTTGTAAAAGGCCTAGGTTCCATCTGTGCGACCGCGTGCATATCAGAGCGCATACTGTGGGGGTTGTAACGCAAACAACACATAAATGCAGGTAAATAATTTATCTGAAGGGTAGTGTAGTGTTGTAGGAGTGGGGATTTAGATTTCCGACGGTCTTGGTGCCTCGAGGCTTTCATTGTTCTTTCTACGAATTTATAACCGTTCTCTAGGAAACGCCATCCAAGCTACCGATACGATGAAGGCACATCGTACAGTGTTGCCTATTTTTTTTAATCTTACCACAGCCGACGTCAACTACGAGCCGTGATGAAAGAAAGGCAACACCGCGCTCGGACGGCATGGTAGTGCTACCTGTGAACGTCAGTTCGATTCGATACAAATCGTCTGAATATGAAATAGCCCTAAAAAATTTAAAAATACGAAATAATCGTGATATATATGAGTCGCTAATGCAGTTAACCTAATTAAAAATATTTAGTTTACGTTTTTTGGTGTCAGCACACTGTGTTCCAACAGGCCCAGCTTGGAATTGTGGAGTTACCTGTTTGTTTTTAATACATTTACTTTCAGTTTTACTGTTATTTTTCAATTTTACATAATCATTCAAAATTATGTTTGAAAAAATAGACAAAAGCTTAGATAAAATATCTGCATAATTGCGGCCACAGATGCAAGTTAAAGAAAATTCACTGCATATAAAGTCAGACTGAATTCTGAGCAAGGTTAACTGACACAAAAGAAATTTTTAATTATTGCTTTTCAAGAAGAAAATTTCCAATCTATCTACATTAATAATAGATTCAAAAATGGCATACATATGGTAGAATATGATTGGTACATAACTGGTTGGAATTGACAGTCCTCCTCTTTGCAAATGATCAAAATAAACATTTGTTGTTAATGAACCTTTTTCTTTAACTATTAGCGATTTGCATATCTCGCAGTTTAGGATTTTAGAGATAGCGTGTGAAGCATATCCAGATATATAAGTCTTAGTACTATCCTCTATGTCACAATTGGCTAAGTAATTTGTCTCAAATACTTCATTGAATATGTCCAAAACTTCAGGATTTTGTTTGGTAACCAAGAAATCCATTTTTCTAACCATATCAGGAATTTTTTTAAAAATTGTACTCTATAATCATATTTATTGGTAATAGGCTTACAAAATTCGTTTCACTTCAATTCTCCTTTTATTACACTCGTATTACTGACAATATCCCACCAATTCCTGATTATTTCCAAAAAGTGTGCAGCATCATTAAACTTTAACTGCACACAGCTGAATATTTTGAAGGTGTCCAATTTTTTCTGGGAATTGCCATAAGCCATTTGTTTTTCAGACTTTCGGTACTTGGGAAGCGAAAAGTTGAAACATAGCTTTCTGTTTTCAAAGCAGAACTATATTTTGCATTGCATAAAGGAACACAGCAACAACGAGGCATTTGTCTGCGTCAAATACTTGATAAATGAAAAAAGAAAAATACAACCTGAATTTGCACGTTTTCAATAGTTGAAATCCTTAGCGTCCTGAGGCGCGAACAGCCAGTCACACTTCTTAGTTTATTTTTAAAGCACAGAAGCACTACAACTGGAGTCTATTTCTCATATATTATAGTCACCGATCACTTTGAACACATACACACACTTTGAAGCTTAGAAAACAAGCTTATCTCTTAATTACAGCATCTGGGATTCCAAAATCTCAAATTGAAAAGGTTATGTTTTCTCAGCGTTTTGAGCACGAGTTGCGTCGATGCAGCAAGCAGCGGCGCGAGTAACACTACCACCTACGTTGCCAGATTTCTTTGTTCACGGCTCGTAGTTGACGTTGGCTGTGGTAGTAGCATTAATATCTTGTCATCTTATTTGAGTAACAGTAACCTTCAACAACACTACCTCCAGTACAACGACGTGGCGTCCCACAGGGTTCTGCTCTGAGACCACTTTTATTTTTAATATACGTAAATGACCTAATTGTAATACAAAGAAAAACCTGACACAACAATGATCTGTGTTAGCAAATCGATGATCTACTGTTTTATGCGAATATTGAATGTACAAAAAATCTAGACAACCGGTTTTTATCACATAAACTGACACTTGATTCTTCAAGGACACTGTCCATGGTAATAATTTTGTGTGACCATAGACACAGTAAAATGTTTGGGTGCCACAAGACTTGAGAGGGACATGTAAACAGGGTGTCCAGTGCCATTTTTTTTTAATTAGGAATCCGAAAATCTGTGTTTCTGGTGATGCACAGTGATGTACATAGTTACTAAACGTCGTCTACAAAGAACTATGATAATGTTTTTCTTGAGGCACTGAGCTACGATTTTATACAAGTGGCAACTATGCAACTACCAAGTTAAAATAAATACCATTATTTCAGTCTGTAACACTGTACTGTAAGGGGTTTTAGGCTTAAGCCGTAAATAAAGCCCAGTTTACTATTCTCTCGTATATTCTTAGACGAAAATTATTTACATTGAGTCAGGCAGTTAATAGAAATAGATGTTGAGGCCTGGAAGCAACAGAGATGAATTATTATGGCACCTAGGAGGTGGTCGGATTAATATCAAAGTGATTCATTTCCAGCTACCGGCAATACAATTTTTTTAATCACTTATTTCAACTATATTTAAATTGGCCCATAATCTATCGAGGAACTGAATTTAAAAAACCTCATCAGTTACATCATTTGAATTTTTGAAAATAATAAAAACTATATCAGGCAAAGCGAGAAAAAGTCTTTTAAAATATTCAGCGTATATTTAAAGGCCTTTCTCAGTCATACAAATGAAACAAATGAGGGATGCTGTCCCGGACTTATGTTGTTTGTGCAATAAGCGTCAATTACACGATATCATTTGAAAGAAAAAGTATATATATATAACAAGTGTTCTCGTCAACGCTTTCGTTCAAAAACAATTAGCAGCAACCTCACCGAAGAGTAAGTAATTTGAAAGTTAAAATCTGTTCTAAATTAGTTGCTATGTTCATAATTGTGTTTTAGCTCCTGAAGATGACAACATAGTTTGCCGAAAGCTCGAGATTTCCGTCACAATAGTTCGCTAAGCATTAAGTTCGCCAATTCTCAATAAACAATTTAATTGTATTTTTTGCCCATCTGGTCGTTGGTGTTGGCAATGACTACTGCGCGCATATATGTATATTGTTCTCATCATTTACCTAGAAACAGAAAAACTATTTTCCAGCTCGATAGTCAAAAACTGTTACAATTGTCGATTCGTATATTGTCTCCGAATTACCTTTGATTTGTAGAAACAATAATTTGCGAAATAGTCAGCTCACCAGATAGAATGCCTGCCCTGTGCAAAAAAAACCTGTGGCACGTTAGAGTCTCGAACTATTCGTTTTGCCAGGCCAACGTAATCTAAAAATAAAAGCCATTAGAAGGAACAACACGTTTGAAAGACTAATGCCACCTGGCCAGAAAACGTGGAGGCAAACGTGCACTGCTACTGACAAACAGCGTCCTGTGAAAATACTTAGGAAATGTTATTTTCGAGCGAAGTATTTCATTTGCAATCTGCTCTGGACACCCAGCGAGAAATCTTGCTAAAGAAACAACGTTCGTGATATAAATTTTGACTGTATCTCAAAAATACTGAATTGCGGTCATTTGTACTGAACAGAGAAATCACATAAATTATCGTTTTCTTAATACGTCTAGCATTTGACTTTATATGTTTATTGTAAATGTCTGCTTTATATTTTTTAGAGGTTAAACGTACTGATTATTATTAAAACGCAATATAGGAGGTCTTACATTTTCGTGACCTTTCAATATGTTATTTTACGTCAAAATGTAAGAGACGCGTATTTTTTTCAAGTCGGCGGACATACGTTACCAAGTGGGTGAAATCTCCCTTATCTATTTTTATAAATCGGTGTCATCGAACTATTATATTTTGATACAAAAGCTTTGCCTCAATCTTGTAGACCTACACTTTATTTTTTAACCACAAACGTCGTCGTATCCATTCTCACCGGCCTATTTCTTTCCAGCCCTCCAGTCGGCCGAGCAGCCACGCCCCATCGGAAGTGACCACGCCCACCGGCGCCAAGGATCCAATCGCAGCGATCGCGGACCGCCTATCGGTCAACAACAATGTCAAAGGCACGCCCAACGGAGGCGGAGTCACGCCCCCCTCTTCGCTACAGCAGATGCAGACACCGCCCGCATCGCCGCAACAGCCGGCGCAGTCGAAGAGGTTGCTGCAGGTGAGTTTTCGGTTAGACAGGAAAGTTTTATACCGCACATCGACAACTGGGCTTTTATGAACACTGTCATTTGCCAGCTGTACTTGATTCCGGATAGTTGAAAAGGTAGGTGCCTTATCCCGCGACATTTTTTATTTCAGGAAATACTGGACAGGCCAGGTCCCTATCCAATGATCGCAGTGCCCCACAAGGGTGGATATTGGGTAGACGGGACTGATCATGAGGAACAGATGGACCATAGGGGCTTGCCCATCATTCCTCACCCCACGTGGCGGGCCAAAATCGAAACGGATGATACTGCGAAGTGTTATAGGAGATTCTTCGTTGGAAGGGTAAGTTAATGAATGGTTTATTAATATCGTAAATAAAAAGAAATCGAGGACGTGTTAGTATGTTTATGTCTTGAAGATAAATGACGGGCTACAGTTGGAGAATACATACGTGAGCCTCTAACAGTAAAAGACAATCCGCGTAACAAATGAAACGGAACGGATCTGTATTTTAACAGGAAAGGCATTTTTGAACCAGGCCAAGGTCAGGATTTAACCTTGACTGTCACCTTCAAAAGTCAACTCATGTTTTCTAAATGGAGATTCCCCTTTTTGATATCGGTAATCGAAGAACGATCCAAACGTGTTTCAAAATCCAAATCCAAGGTTATCTCAATAGGTTAAAATGTGTGAGACTGTCAGGGATAATGCCAAAAAACTCAGCATTATTATTGACGAAGAATAATCTTGTTTAGTAACTGTTAACAAGCATTTCAATTTTAACCATAAACCTATCCCTCAAAGTGATATCAAGGTCAACTTTTTTTTGCACCGGCGATTATGACCTTGAGATAAGGATATGGAGATCGTTGTTGAAATTGACTTGAGGACTGGCTTTATAAGCTTTTAGGAATTTTCCCTAGCCTCGCCCACTTGACCTTTAGGGGTGATTTTGAACGTAGATTTTAATACATATTTCTACGTAGAATTTTCTATTCTTCCGATTGCCGTTTACAAAACAAAAATTGATATTGAAATAACTTTGAATGTGAGGCTCATGGTCACCGTTGATCAGTCCTTGATGAAAGTTAGTAAAGACCTGACCTTGACCGTATATGGTATAAGCTGTGTTGATGCTTCTCGGGTGTTTTCTGCGAAAACCTGTACAGAGCATAAGATAGGGCTTCTCGACTATGTTTAGGTTTCAATCAGTAAACAACTGTTCCCCAGCTCACGTGTTATTACGGGGAGCAGAAGAGTATCGATAAGCGGATCAGCTGTCTATAAACAACGACTGTGGTTGTGTGTTCGATCCAGGAAGGGAGGGACGGAATTGAATTAATTCTATTCTGCTTACGTGCTTAGAATAAGTTTTGCTTTAGAGGTTTCTCAAACGTCGACGCGTGTATAATGAGATTACGGCGGTCACGTTTTATCCAGTCGAGATTTTTATGGTAACTACACTTGATACGAGAATAATATGAATAAAAAACTGATATCTATTCAGTTCAGTGTCATTGGCCATCGATAACAATAAATATTTTTCCAATAATTTCCCAAACAAATTTTCCTTAATAATTTCCGGTATATTTATATTATTCCTACTTCTCCTGTACTATGTTTTCACCCACAAGTTGGATTTGACATTCGCCTGTTGTCGCTGATACTCAGTTTTATGTGTCAAAATAATGTCATATATTTTTCATGAAAAGGTGCCTTCCAAAAATGATTTGTAAACATCTTTAATTGTAATAATCTTTAAGCATAATTTTCACCAATTTCCAGAAGTTTGATTAATTTGAAACTTCAGTTTATTGTTGCATAACTTTACGATTCGATAGAACTTTTAAAATTAATGCATAAAGTCTATATAAACATGGGTCGAAAAATGCGTGGCTTCCGAAATACAGGGTGTTTAAATTTACTTTCTAAAATAGTTTTTTTTAAATATATTTTAGAAAGTAAATTTAAACACCCTGTATTTCGGAAGCCACGCATTTTTCGACCCATGTTTATATATACTTTATGCATTAATATCCAATCTTAAAGTTATGCAACAATAAACTGAAACACCCTGTATAATTAATTATGATTGTTCTTTGTAATTAAAAATTATTTTCTACTTCTTAGTTCGGTTAGATATAAAAGCGTGTTTTTTAAACCATTGTTTATTATTTCAGTGATACATTTTTCCGAAATTTGCTTATTTTAGTGTGACCCTAATAATTGTATGTCACTTAAAAGCTAATTTCCCTTATTTTCCGATGCATAAAATATTTCGCTTTATAGGTGAATTCCCCCGATTTCCAATATTTCATGGCTTCCTATACAATCGATTGAGAATGTCAATAGAACGCCGTTCGCCGTAAAAGAACCATTACCAGATTAATTTTATAGGTTATCCACAGAAAAAGCCTATTATATTGCTGTATGCCGTGTATGCGCATATTGTTATGCAAAGAATCGACGGGTCACCGACCCACAATACACACACACAGGTACACGCATAATATGTAAGATATTGAATACAGATTTCTTAAAGTAGACATCGGGGTCAGACGGAACGAGAAGACGATTGAAATCGGTTTTTAAAGCAGTTCGAAATCTCGTCAAGAGTTTTTGGGTCGAGCGTACGCAGAACCGATCTAGCGACCCGAAAAAGGAAACGGGAATCGCGACCCCTGGCGGCGGTTCAAGTACGAATTCGGATTGCAGATTCTTAACTATTTGGCGACGCTTTGTAAGAATGTTAGGGACAGCGCTCGCGTTCTTCAAGTTGCTAAGCGAAAATGGCATGTTTCTGCTACCGACTGAAAATAGTATAATACGTAACAAGGTTGAGAAGTAAGACATTGTTGGTATGCGAAAAATCTCGACCTGCCAAGCCTGGTTAGGTGCTTTTACCGCTGAAATGTATTGCAACCACGATTTCGCGTATGTTGTCACGATGAGCAGGCAGATATCTAACAGAGCTGCGCCCTCATTTCGCTTTTCGGTGAATGGAGTACTTGCTTTTAGGAAAATCGTCAGTGTTATGTCCAAGTGCCTCAATAAAAACAGCAGAACTAGTTTTGACATGTTCCAACGCAACTCGGCACGGGTTTCCCTTTATTTACAATTGTTTTGACATTGTTCAAGCAAAATCAGAGGGTAATGCTTCTGAAAAAAAGAACTTTATTTTTTTGACACCTTAGTTTATGAACCCACTGCTTGGATTTTGTTTTTACCTTAAAATCCCAATGATGCAAAGAAGTCTCACCTACCACACATTATGCTTGTGGGTTTCAATCGTTTTCTTTTTTCATGGCTAGGTAGATTTCTTTTCTAGCATCCCTCGTATACATGGCGGAAACTCAGGCAAAGCGAATCTCTGGGAAAATCGAATTTCCCTTTGATATCCAAACCATAAATCAACCTTCATGAAAAAGTTACTCGTTCATCATTCTGCCATAATCGGCAATTCGTTGTATAAGAACCAATGCTTATTGGGCTACCGAGTAGCAAAATACAGGGTGTCCGCAAAGTTGGGGTTGTCCTTTTCAGAAACAACTAGCCTTGAAATAACAAAGGTCATGTGTAGTGAAACGAGGGCGACCAAGTAAAAAAAAATAAAGGAAAAAGTACTCGCTCTCCAGTTGACGAGAAGGGCTAAGTACGTCTCTGCCCGAAATCATACCGCTCCAACAGTAAATGAAATCAGCTGATGCGCAGGCGGTGGTGCAGACCACGAACAGAGGTAACAAATATGACGGCGTTGCCGCGTTTTCAGTTTTTAGGTAAACGTACTTTATAGGTATTGTTCGAAGTTATCGCCGTTTGATTCAAAAACACAGGTGCGTGCATCGGTGCAGGCTTTGAGAATGGAGTCGCTCCCCCGAATGAAAGCACCAGCTTGTTCAATTCTGAGACGAAGTCCGTCAACCGTATGCACTTCACTTTTTTTTTTTTTTTTTTTTTTTTTTTTTTTTTTTTTTTTTCTTATATCGAAACAGCCGCGCAGGCAGAAGCCTAAATGCCGGAACACCGCGGCTGCTATGATGATCCCAAAGAAATTTTGTTAATACGATTTTTGAACTGCCTAAGGTTAGTAGAACTGGGAAAAGCTTCCTCCCGTAGATTGTTCCACAATCTAGACGCCCTCGGGACAAAGGAGCGGTCGTATCGGCCAGTTCTGGATGTACGAAGTTTGACACGGTTAGGATGGGATGCCGAAGTCAGGCGGGTCTGTCTGGCAGGCGCATCGCGCGGCGGCATCATGGAAGAGAGCTCTGAGGAGCAAAGCCCGTTGGTGTAGCGATAGAAAAGAGCTAGATCGCCGACGGCCCGCCGGTGCGAAAGAGTCCCGAGACTGTCTGTTAGAGAAGAGTCATCGATCAGTCGGACCGCCCTCCTCTGGACAGCATCGAGCATGGACAATGTAGTCGGGGCGGCAGCACCCCAAATGTGTGAGCAATACTCGAGGCTAGGCCTTATCTGGGCCTTGTATAGAGTGAGAAGGTCATGCGGAGAAAAGTACTTCTTAGCCCTAAACAAATAGCCCAGCTTTTTCCCAGCAGCTGCAGCTATTGAAGAGATGTGTTCGTGCCAGATCAGGTCCTCGGTGATCTGGACTCCGACCAGCCGAAATGAGTGGCTCTTTGGTAGAACTCGACCGCCCATCGAAACTGTATGAGCGCTAGGACGCTTTTTGTTCGTCAGGGTACAGTACTGTGTTTTGGAAGCATTGAACTGTACAAGATTGTTGCGTCCCCAAGCAGTGATAGCCTCCAGGTCTCTTGTCAGAGAAGAAGTCGTCGCTAGTCTTCTTTTTTCCAGCTCAGCGGCAGAGACCGGCTTGTCACTCTGAATTCCTGCATGTAGAGTGCTGTCATCAGCGAAGCTGTGGATTGGGTTGATCGTGCAGGAAAGGAGGTCGTTGATATGTAAGAGAAACAGTGTTGGAGCCAAGACCGATCCCTGGGGAACACCCGCGTTGACGTTGTGGGATGAAGAGGAGAATCCGTCAATTACGACGGATATCTTGCGGCCAGAGATAAAGTCAGCCACCCATCTGCAAAGCTTTTCTGGGAGGCCGTAGGATGGAAGTTTGCTTAAGAGGGCAGCGTGCCACAGCTGATCGAACGCTTTCGTGATGTCAAGAGCAACGACATGAGCCTCACCATGAGACTGGATGAGTTTACTCCACAGTTGCGTGACGTAAGCTAGGAGGTCCCCTGTGGATCGTTGGTGCCGGAAACCGTACTGCCTGTCGCTAATCAAGCTGTGACGTTCGAGGTAGTCCAGAAGCTCGCGATTTATGCACCTCTCCATCACTTTACTTATAACAGAAAGCAGAGCTATAG